CTGTAGGCTAGAGATTTCCCATAAATGACCTATACTGCTTACTATAGCAAGCATTTTATACCAGATGCAACCTTTTGTCTCTCTTTTGGATGCAGTATTGATGCTCATGATTTTGTTTTCTTGGAGTCTAACCCAGAGAAGCTCCAAAAGCATCAACTATCTGTTACCTTGGCTGATCAAACTACAATAAAATGTGAATGCTTTTCATGACCCTTAAGGCAATAAGATGATGAAGAAGAAGAAGAAGAAGAAGAAGAAGAAGAAGAAGAAGAAGAAGAAGAAGAAGAAGAAGAAGGAGGAGGAGGAGGAGGAGGAGGAGGAGGAGGAGGAGGAGGAGGAGTCAATGCTAAACCCTGCATATCAGAAAAGGAAGTGTGACTTTTGAGCCCCTCTCACTGTAGCACAGTAGTAACATGCATCTGAAATAATCAACCTAAATTATCTTCACATCTTGGCTGCATTGCCAACAAACGGTCTTCTTGGATGCCCATCCATTTTGCTGCTCATAATTCAGAAGGGGAAAAACATTGTTCTTATAATAAAAAAGGAATGATAGACATTCTAAAACTAGGGTAGTCCTTAAACTGTCGTATATAAGTGCCGTGTTTGTCCTTTGCCCAGACTGTCATCTGAATGAAACACAGCAAGGTGAACAATCCCACTGGAAGAGAGAGAAAGGGGGTTAACATTACAAAATATTCTACTGAGAGTAATACCCCAAAATTTTAAAACCAAGAATGCTATTCACCTGGAACGCACTGAGTCATGATAGTAAAACCAATCCATGTTCCCAGCTGTAATGGCCAAGAAAATTTAGAACTATTTCACATGATTAAAATTGCTAAATGCAGCTAGTCCCTTTATATTAAAATAATCAAACATAACTATTTTAGTATCAGTTTGTAAAACAAAAGCAATAAAATATAAACATGCAAATAATTAAAGACACAACCAATATTTTGGAAATGCGTTGCTACATATATGAAGTTCTGGTTTAAGATCTTCCATATAGGAGTGTGAAAACATTTCCTTCCTAAGATAATTAAGATAAAGTAAAGAAGGTATACAGTTCTTAAATATTAGTAGGTAGAGAACTGATGTGTAGGACCTTTTAAAAAAAACCCACTGATATCTACTAATTGAAGATGATGGTAAAAAGACATAAAGAGTGCTTTGAGATTTTTATTTTCACAATTGGCATGCCTCACAATCATATAATTTCATGGGGTGGGTCTAATGTTAATACTATATATCAACTACCTGCCTGTAATACTCTTTTTTGCTTCAATTTCCCATGTTTATTAAGGAACAGAAACAGAATAAGTACAGAATGCTTTTAGTCATATTGCTAGGATTCTCCTTCCTGGAAGCAAATTTAAAATAATTTTGATGATTTATTTAAAAAATTAGTAATTCCCACTCTTCTCCCCATATATTCAACATAAAAATTCACTTCTGATCATTATGCTCAATATTCTTTTTAGATATATAATCTATAGCAAAGTGGAGAATTTCTGGTTATTTTTGTTATACTATAGTACTAGGAATGGGAAAGCCTTGCAAAATCACCTAGAGATATCCTAGTATGTCAAAATTTACCCCCTCCCCTTCACAGTTTTATATAAAAAAGAGTGTGAAGCTAAAATAGCTTGATGTATTTCAATATTCAAATGGCCCACGTAAAATAAATTAGAAAACTACCTGTCTAAACTGCTTCTGCATGATCTGTTTTCCACAAATCTTCCCACTTTCATATATTTCTAATTTATTACTAATTTATAATTGTTCTTTCCATTTGCAGTTCTTTAAAAAAACATTCATTTTTTCCAGTGTCCTTGAAACTGCAGCAAATCTGAGGTAATCCCTCATCTGCAAGAAATACTTTGCAGCAATTTCACCTATTGCTTATGCTGGCTATGTTTCTGCATTCACTTTTTCCCCTTAGTTTCCCTTCTCAAGTAGAATGTTGAGCCTATTCTGCAAAGTACAGAATTCTGTGGTTTATCATATATAGGGGAGATATTTAAGGGTGCAATTCAAGCTTTCAAGTGTTAATAAGTGAGCCTAGGGCAACGTTAAGCATATATATATATATATCTCAAGCACAACCAAATTATTGCAATATTGTCTGATGATTAAAAAATGCTTACCTCGTAGGTATAATTAGGGCATGACACAAAATAAAATAGCCACGTGAAAGGATTCTTCGTTGGATAAGGGATCTTACAGGTCTTGGATCCTATCAATTGAAAGATCCAAAAAATTTAAAACTACCTGCTCTGCTTTAGGGTTTGTTTGTTTTTAATACATCCAATATTTCTTTTAGCACAAAGCTGGGAAAATAGCATCAATAATGTGGATGTAATTATTATTCTCATATCATTTTATAGTTCACCTGCTTTTTTTCACTGTGGTACCCTACCAGAGATACTTCAATGCTCACAAGCATTTTACAGTATTAATGTACAATTAATGCATCTATCAGCAGTCCCACCACTGCCAACCTTTGTAGATAAACAGCTAAATAAGGGGAAGCAGTTTCAAAGAAATGCCTGTTTCTAAGGGCTGAGAATCTCATAGCTGCCCAACAATACAGGTAGTCCTCAACTTATGACCACGACTGAGCCCCAAATTTATGTTGCTAAGTGGGACATTTGTTAAGTGAGTTTTGCCCCATTTTATGACTTTTCTTGCCAGAGTTGTTAAGTGAATCATTGCAGTTAAGTTAGTAACCTGGTTGTTGTTAAGTGAATCTGTCTTGCCCATTGACTTTGCTTGTCAGAAGGTCGCAACACTTGATGACATGACCCTAGAATGCTACAACAGTCATAAATATGAACCAGTTGCCAAGCATCTGATTTTTGGTCACATGACCATGGAGATGCTGCAACGGTCGCACATGGGAAAAATGGTTGCAAGTCACTTTTTTTCGGTGTTGCTGTAACTTTAAACGGTCACTAAATGAACTGTTGTAAGCCGAGGATTACCTGTAATGATAGTACATTGATCAAAGATAGCTCAATCAGAAAGAAAAAAAGGAGACAGCCTTCCTCCCCCATAACTGGGGCAGAAGATGACCTTGGAAAAAAAGAGCTTATAACAAGTAAGCATGCTCATTGAACAAAGGATACTGAATCTTGGGGGGAAATGGGGATGGGGATAGAGAGAGATACAGACCACAAAATCCTGGAGGACACTAAAAAGCAAAGCAGAAATGTTCCACGCTATAACATTTACAGGCCATATTTATCTTGTATAGCAGGCTGTTGAGATCAGCCAGATTCATTGACGAGGCCCTTTGTGAGACTCCCCCTATTCACCTATATATTTATTCATATACGAATGTTAAGTCAACAGTAACCGCAGCAGTACTGAAATAGAAGCAAAACACTCAGCTTTTTCCATCTCTTCTCAGATTACTAAGTGTAACATGGATAGAAAAGTTTCCAGCTTCACATGTCTGCAATGAGAGAGAATGAGAAAGTGGATGAAAAATAGAAACAATGAAAGACAAGGCAGTTCAAATAGAGAAGAAGGCTCTGAGTATATTTTTTCCTAATTCAACAGAGCTAGTTCTCATACAGACCCATTTGGTGCACTTCAGATAGATTGGGCTCCCCTGCTGAGCGTGAATTCACAGAGAGTCCCAACACATTTGGAAGAAACCAATTAGGGAAGCATTCCTTAAAACAGGGGTCTTCAAACTTGGTCCTTTTATGACTTGTGGACTTCAACTCCCAGAATTCCTCAGCCAGACATGAGGAATTCTAGGAGTTGAAGTCCACAAGTCATAAAAGGGCCAAGTTTGAAGACCCCCTGCCTTAAAATCTCATCTGTTTTGTCCTGTTTTGAAAGCAAAATCTAATTTCTGTTTACAACATCGTTGTACCTCTAGACTGCATGGCAAATCTGGACTGCATGGCAAATTTTTTGGCAAATCTTCAAATACAGGTAGTCTTTGACTTAACAACACAATTGGGGCTGGAACCTCTTATCATTAAGCCATGTGGTCACAAAGTGAGTTATGCTTGATTTTACAACCATTTTACTACTTCCATTTTCTCTCCTAATGCCTCTAATGCCTTTGAAAAAAAAAAAATATTGGAAAGCACCAAAAAGCAATAGCAGCTAGAGTGTCTCATCTCCATGACACCTAATATACAGGAAATGTGCATCTGCTTTAAAACTGCCTTAAATATACTTTCTGTCACTAGCTGCAATGGGAATGAAATAAAAGAAAAAAGAAGACAGAGTAATGAGAATGTCTTTGGCCTTCAATTCTTGGTCTGCTGTTTTGTTGTTGGATGATTCTGAGAGAGTGTTGAGTGCTGGTGAAAATTGCAATTTTCTTGGCAAGATTTGGAAGTGGCTTGTTATCTTCTTCCTAGGGCTGAGAGAGAGTGAATGGCCCATGTAACCTAACTAATTTTGGGCCTAAGGCAGGAGTAGAACTCACAGTCTGCTGGATTATGGCCTGCTGTCTTAATCGCTGTACCAAACTGGCTCACTACTGGTCTGTAACTGGCAAGATTTTGGATTCATCATACATGCCAATTTTATGGCAGGATCATATTTTCTCCATGTGACAATAACAATTACAAATGTTTCTTACTATATTATTTTTAATTTGCAATATACTTACCAGGAACATGATCAGAGCAAAATTGACTTGTTTTTGTCCATAATCTGCAGAAAAGAATATTTATGAAGTTTCGGCTGAATGAAACATTCAAATTATTTTTACTTTTTTTGCTACTTACATGGTGGTGTGTAAAGAGGGTGATTGATATAAAAAGCAAGCCAGGCAGCAAATCCCCAGTAATAGAAACAATTCTGTAAAACAAGTCAGTTATATTTTTGTTAATGTTTTACATTAAAGAGATTTACAGAAAATATACAATGTGTGCACCCATGTGGGCACAATGTTCTCAGTTCAAATTCTTTATCTAATCCTAATGTATATAAGCAGAATGCGAGCAGGTACTACATATTCAAAGAAGAATTAGTTTTCAAGTTATATTAACAAAATGCAGAGAAATTATGTTTCCTCCATTATAACAGTATCCCCAACTTGACTTTTTTTTCCAGTTAAGTGATACAGAACTTTCCCACTATTTTGTTCCTCAGAACCAAAGAAATAAATATCTGTAAATGAAGTGCAAAGAAACAAATTATGCTTTCCCTATGATTTTTAGTCTACAAAAATGTCAGTTTATTATTATTTCCTAACAATTTACAGTATTAATCCTACCAAAAATTAGTTTATATGACTAGATACAAAAGATATTTTTAAACAGTAAATGCTATTTAAATGTTTAAAAACATTTATCTCACATAGTAGCATTTTAAAAAATATAGATCTTGTTGTAATATACATACAGTATTTATAAATATTCTGGCAGTGAACTCACTAAATATGATCCCCTGTTTGGTAAATTTTTAATACAGAATATTTTAGAGGCACAAACTTCTCAAATCTATGATGGCACGTAAGGCAATTTTATTCAGCATAATTATAGACTTTAAATTTCTCAAGCAAATTAATACTATTTCTTACATCTTATTTCAGACAAAAACAACCTGTCCTAGTGTTATCTATACATAACAGCTGCGCTGTTAAATTCAAGCATCAAGAACTTCTAGTGTTAACATTTCACTAAGACAGGGGTCTTCAGACTTGGCCCTTTTATGACTTGTGGACTTCAACTCCCAGAATTCCTCAGCCAGCATGTCTGGCTGAGGAATTCTGGGAATTGAAGTCCACAAGTCATAAAAGGGCCGCCAAGTTTGAAGACTCCTGCACTAAGACAACAGGGTTAAATAGGTAGATACAGATCAAAGGGATCAGTGTGATAAAAACAGCATTGCATTGTAAGCCCCATCGCTTTTGTATATATGTTGTGACGTCACATAAATGTCCAAAAGAAGAGGAGCTTACGATGGAACACTAATTTTGTCCTTTTTATTTTAAAAATAGCAATAGGAGCTATGGACATCTATGGCTGAATGAAAGCTAAAACTTGTTTGAGAGTGTTTACTTTTGTAGCACAGACTTGATAGTAATTTAACTAGCCACGTATAAAGGGATCTGTGAGTTTATGTTAACAAAGAAAATCCTTCTGTGAAACAGGATAAGCTTAAATCAGTTGCTGAGTTGTTCTAAATTTTCTTGGTATCTAGAGATTAGCTGAGGGCAGGTCCTCTGCTCCATCTACCTCTTTGAGAATTTTGAGATCGTGAACTTCACTTTAGAAGCAGATGGGAAAGAATTTAAGTTCAATAGTTCAGGGACCACAAGACTGGGCCTTGAAAATGGAATGCATGAGTGAAATGAAGAGCAGATAATTTAAATACCAGTAAGGCAATCTCAACACCAATACCCCAACTGTAAAAAGCTTAAAAGCTCAGCATCGTAATTGTGCCGAGAAATGAATATGTTAGAGTGCAGCTGATTAAAATCTGCCAACACATAAATCCTACACAAGCCAAAACAACTTAGTGACCTCATATCCCATTTAAAACACTGCCTCTTCTTCCAATAGAACAAAAATCTAAAATCTAAAATGATTGCCTCTTATACTACGGTTCATCTAGCACATGTAGCCTTTTATACAACCAACTAGAGAACCTTGGTGACCTCAAAGGAAAATAAACCTGGTACAACAATCTAGAAAAAAAAGTTATATTTGCGGGAAATCTTCCCTCCTGCAGTGAATAAAGAAAGGAGCCATTGGAAAATAAAAAAGAGGGAAACCAAAGTGTGTATTAACTTTGTACACCACAAACACAGTCTCTCTTTTAGCTTTCGTTTTGAGCCCCACTGGCTTTCCCCCCAGGCACTGACACTGCTGATTTCTAACATAATAGAAACCCTATTAAGAAGCTATTTGGCAATTGCTACAGCCAATCAAAATGTGGAATTTACTGTGAAAATGATTATATCTGAAAGATTTTTGCCTCTTCATATTTTAGAAAGAAACTGGTTTATTTTCCTCACCTCTTCATATCAGAAGTTGAAAATAGGTATAGCATATTTATAACGTCACTTTTAACCAACCAATGCCATACACAGCCATTTTCCCACTTTTAAGTTCAACTGCACTAACTTTGTATGACAGCAATTCCTGATTCTGCTCTATTCAGTAACAGAAAATACTTTCTTCCATCAGATGTAGTGACAGTGCTTTCTAACCATCCTTATCTTAAATCATTCCATCTGTCTTCTTACTGTTGTTTCAGTCTTCCCCAAACTGTTGTCTAGATAAGGGTTTCTCAACCCAGACAACTTTAAGATGTGTGGACTTCAACTCCCAGAATACCCCAGCCAGCAGGGTTGAGAAATGCTGATCCTGAAGTTCGATTACAGCAGTGGTTCTCAACCTTTTTAATGCCGCGACCTCAACCAGTCATAAGTCGAGGACTTTCCCTGCCCGGGAGTGCCGTGCATGCGTGGTTCCGCCCCCTGCACCAGCCGAGGCGTAGCTGGCAAGCGGCAGAGACGGAGCAGGCCGACCACCAGCTGGCCCAGCCCAAGGGAGGTAAGGCACCCGCTGGAAAAGGGAAAAAATGGTGGACCAAAAAAATGGCGGACAAAAAAAATGGCGGACAGCCTTGCTTGGCGACCCCCATGAAATGGTCGATCGACCCCAAATGGGGTCCCGACCCACAGGTTGAGAACCACTGGATTACAGGCCTCACATCCTGAGCCAGCAGACAATTCGCTTGTTGATTGGAACTGAATGGAATTGTAGCCAAATGCATCCTTAAAGTACTTGCTTAGATATGTTAGCTGCCTTGAGTTGTTTATAAAAAAATAAAGGTCCTTACTTATTTATTTTCTTCAATGTATATACAATAGTGACTTTGCAGAGTAGAACATTTAAAGAATACAAACAATGCAATATAAAGCAGACAAAAGCCAAGAAGCCAAACCAATCCAGGCAGATAACCATTACCTTAAGGGCTCTAACAATCCATGTTTTGGAACAGATCCATGTCTTGAAAGCTTTTCAAAAAGACTAAAGGATCAGGGCCAACCTAATCTTATGGGGAAATGGTGTTCCAAAGGGCAATAAAAAACAAGCCTGGGTCTCACAAGTTGACATTCCTGACTGACAGGACCCACAGCTATGCCTCTCCTGTTGGCTCTAATGGGCTATGATAGAAGGATCTGGGAAAAGGTGGTCCTACAAAGAATGTTGCCTGTAAATACTGCATAATTACAGACCACACACACATACACAGAGTTCAGAATCTCTTTAACAGCGTTAATTAGGCAGAAATTAAAAGGGCATTTTTTTGCATCATGTGCTCCGAGACAATAATCTGAACCGTCAGAAGAAGGCCATCCCTGGAGAATAGCTACGTTTGTCCTCATTCATCCCGATGTTTTCCAATGGCAGAGAAACGTGTGTTAAAAACTGTCTCTGCATTGAACAAAACACAGCAGCAAATGCTCTAATTAATGCAAACGACCAGATTCAAGCAAAGCACGTTTTATCTCAGGAACATAATCCAGGTCAAATAGTAACAGCTTCTATAGTTAAGTGGTCTTTGTTTCAGCTGAGATTGAAAGAAGTAATGAAAGAACTGGCCAGCTGCCACGGAATAGTTTATTCTTCAGATGCAGCATCATGAAATAAAAATCTTAATGACAACAACTGCCTTCTAAGAGCACTTAAAGCCCTAAAAAATGATTACATCTTTGCTAGGGTCACAGATTTTTAATTTGGAACTGTATCCCCATCCCAAGAATTCTACACACAAAACTAAGTGAAAATTTGCAACTATTTACAATGTGATCTGGATATATTTTATATACGAGAGACAGTCACTGCACCATTATTTTCTGTGCACCATCCACCAAAGCAAAAGATAGAAAAAAATCAGAGAAGTCCAAAATCCACATGGATGACAATAATCATAGGTACTCTATTATACTTTTTAAAAATGCAGTATATATATCAGTGTGGTAGAGTGGCTTAAGATTTTGGAACAAAACCCAGATTTGAGTCAATCCTCAATGTGATGTTATGAGAATAATTACAGGTCTATTCTGTATTCTCTCCTGAATCCCAGAAAGAAATAAGAGATACAGATCTAATTAATGTTCTACATATAAAATGTAAAATGCAAAAACAAAATAATACAAAAATCACATTCCGCCATTATAAAAAATAACTACTTATCAGCTACATTGTTCTTAAATCATTCAATACCTCCAGAAGCGTCTTTAATTTAAGGATCAAATTATAAGTTCAGAAACACCTATTTTGGCTCAAGGCAACTCAGAACTGAGAGACATCATGTGATTTATCATTCTGCTGCTTAAAATAACACACACACACACACACACACACACATATCCAGAAAGCCAGAGAGAAGGATTTTAGCCCCATTTTCAATCTACTGTACTTTATTTCCTCCTTCAAGAATTTTTAACATGGCAAAGGATTCAGATCAATCCCCACAAGCATTTGGAATGGTTCAGTCCCAGAAGAAGGCACATCAAGTTTGCAAATAGCCCCAAGTCCTAAATTTTCCTACAAAAGGATAGTTGTAAGTTTGCAACACTTTAATGAAGCAGAAATTCCCTTAAGTTTTGCAGATGGAGCTGTAGTCTACTGTAGGAGTACATTAAAAAAAATCTGTAAAATATACCTTGCTATTGTCAAGTTAGCTGCAGGCCAATGTCAAGCATCATGTCTAGTTCAGCCCCTGTAATTCTAATAAACCCACTGACTCCATAGTCTTAATCAGGAGAGCATGTCCTAGGACCTTGGACAGTGGTGGCGAACCTACTGTATGGCACGCGTGCCAGAGGTGACACTCAGAGCCCTCTCTATGGGCACGTGCGCTGCCGCTGCTAGTGGCTTTCGCAGGTCCATTAGGCCGCCACCGCCGCCCAGAGCAGGAGGCAAAGCAGCCAGCTAGCAAGCTCAAGTAGAGGTGGTAGAGCACGCCCGCACCAAGCAAGCCAAAGGCCACCCTGAGCAGGGAAAGCCGGATTCCCATCAGCGCCATGGTCCTCCAGTCCCAGCTAGGATTGTGTGCCTCCCCCATCTATGCTGGGCCTCCTGCCCACTGCCCCACCCGCCAGAGATCTCCTAGATCTCCCCCAACCCTGCCCGGCCCCCGCAGGCGTCCCCCCCATGAGCAACATTGAGGTGGCCATGCCTACCCCAGCCACGCCCACCCAGTCTGCCGTGACAACTGCAGCCATGCCCCATGCCCCCCCCGAGGGCACCACAATGCTGATGCAGCTCTGGCACTTTGCGATAAATAAGTGAGTTTGGGGTTGTGGTTTGGGCACTCAGTCTCTAAAAGGTTCGCCATCACTGACCTAGGAGGAAAGCCACTCTCAAGGAGCATCTTCCTACTTGGCTAGAAGAAAAAAGATTAGGTATTGCAGTCCCATGTTTTACAGCAATCATTTAGAATGGCAGATTTCAGTAGCAGATGTTCATGCTAATAGAGAACAGTTCCTCATTTTGAAGAGCATCATTATGGCCCAAAGTTGTATCACAAACTGGGCTCCTATAGGGAGTGGCCAGATTAGGTTGCATTCAAGGGCTGCAAGTAGATTTTGTGACAATTTACCTTAACAATATTCCTCAGTGGCATAGTCCCATGGGAGAACCGATGAACAAATATTGTTTCAATCAACCTTTTGATGTAGTGGAAAGAATGGCAGATACATGCCAAGCTAGAAACAGCAAGATAAAAGCGTTTCAGAAAACTAAAAAAAAAACAAATTGGGCAAGACATTCGGAATAAAGTTGTGATGCCCCAAAATAAACACCTCCAGTCTAGAAGTGAGACTCACTTAACTACTGGATGTCGGCCTGAAGTAAATCTGTCATCCTGGCCATAGATAAAAGGCATGCGGAGATAAAACACAAAATAGATGAACAATGGGCCCGTATATTCTATCAAAAATACCTGCAAAAGAGAGAGACACTTATTAGAAGATTATCTTTGGTTGCATGGAAACAACAAAAACATTGCATGCAGTCCTCCCAATCAGAATGGATACTGAATGACCACTTGCTATATCCAACACTGCCAATCAACATTTTAACTTGCTGGCTGTCAAAGTCTGGAAATTCGGAAGTCCATGTATCTTAAAATCATCAAGATTGAGGAAACATTGCTCTAGAAAGTATTCTGCTTATTTCCCCTGAGGTTTTCTTTTTTTCTATTTTATACAACTGTCTTCATAGTCGAAGAATTGTTGCTGCTTGTATTTTAGCTTTGAAACGTTATAAACCCTGCAGTGGTATTTTGCAATCTGAGATGGTTTTTGCCTTGTTTAGCACAATTGAAAACAATAGTGCTTAATAAGGAACACAGCCTGGTTAGATGGTTGGATTCTACTGTAAGTGTCAAGACCGAAGACTAAACCCATAATTCAGAATGAGGCTCCTGATCAGTTCAAATGAGTTCCTATGGGAGAAGGGAAATAAATATGGGATAAACAAATGAAATATTAATGTTCCTTCTATTTATCTGTTAATGACTGATGCATAACATAGGTTAATAACATAGGTTATTAAAATACCTCTTGCAGTTGGTCATTGTAAGCAGTATAACTCAAAATAAACCAGTTTAAATCAACCGAATTGTATTTTGTGCACTGATTTCTGCTATACAGTGAATTGTTGCTTTGCTATCAATTTCCCATTTTATTTTATGATATATGCAAGCAGCCGCCAACTTGGCAACATGTTGGACTGCGTAACACGTCTGAAAATTGCCAGGCTGGGAAAGACTGGGCAGCAATGTATCAATGCTGGTCTAGAAAACAGGAGACTGTGAGATCGAGTTCTGCCTCAGGCATGAAAGCCAGCTAGGTGACCTTGAGCCAATCACTCTCAGCCTCAACCCACCTCACAGGGCTGTTGTTATATGGGGCAAATAGGAGGAGGAAGGAGCATTAGGTATGTTGAGTTACTTATAAAGTACCGGTAATAAAGGCAGGGTAAAAATCTAATAAATAAAACACAGGTAGGGGGGAGTCTGGATTATAACACAACCTGCTGTGCCCACAAATTCTGGCTTCACCTTACAGTTCTCACTTGAGTGTTTTCTTTTTAAAAATCTCCTTTCCCCTATCAGATGTTGGTTCTGTTCTTCTAGCAGATGTGACAGGCAAAAAGCCAATTCATAAAAGAGGCATGTCACTGCATCTTTGTGCAAAGAAGCACTTTACCTGGCCAGGTTCTCCTGAGACTGAAGCTCAAAAAACAGGCCGAAGATGAAAAGTTGGAAGAATGGATTCTGTTCTACCAAAATTGGCACTATTCCACATGATTGGATCAAATGGCTGTTTCCTTCTCGCCCTAATTTTGGCAGGCTACATTCTCTCCCTATTTTCTTGTTGCATCCCCTAATATAGACATTACACAAGCTGGGTTTTGTCTGGTTGCCAAGCAACCAGTGCTGCGTTGCTATGGACTTGCTTGCCAAGTTTTTGGGGTGATTATATTTTCCTCTTTGCATCCAGCAACTCTTGAGTTTAGAAAAGAAAAGAAAAAGGCCAGGGGGGAGGGTGTTCTCTCCCATTTTTCATTGCAGAAAAACTTAAATAACATCATAATGCAAAATATTACTGAGGCAAAACAGCAATTAATTAAAACATATCAAAGCTTAGAGTCTCACCATGGTCCATCCAATTTGCGGCCCTAAATCTTTAAAATAGAGAGTAGCAGTGGTGCCAAAAGGGAGCAGTTGCAGGATTTCCTCATTCTTCAGGGATTTTCCTTCTGAGAGGATGAGAAGAAGTTGTAATATTTATTGTGAGAAGAGAAGTGGAAATACACAATTCCTCACCCGAGCTTGCGTTTTCTACAGCTTTTCTTTCCTATTTACCTCAAGGACTCTTGACTGGCCTCAGAATCTTGTTTTTTTCCATTTAAAAACATTTGAAGGAAAAGAAATGAAGCATTTGAAGATATGGGAAGGGAAAAGATGTCAAATGAACCTACATGTCATTGTCAATACAGATAGTTCTCAACTTACGACCACAATTGAGCCCAAAGTTTTTGTTGATAAGTGAGATATTTGTTGAGTGTGTTTTGCCCCATTTTACGACCGTTCTCGCCATAGCTGTTAACTGAATCACTGCAATTGTTAATTTAGCAATACAGTTGTTAAGTGCATCTGGCTTCCTCATAGACTTTACAAAAAGTGATCACATGACCCCGGGACACTGCAACCGTCATAAATATGAGTCAGTTGCCAAACATCTGAATTTGATCATATAATCATCAGTGTGCTAACAGTTTCAATAACAATAATAATAATAATAATAGAGTTGGGGTCTTGGTCTTCTAGTCCAAGTCCCTGCTCAGGCAGGAAACCTTATACCATTTCAGACAAATTCACGTCACCATGGGGATGCTGCAATGATCGTGTGATAGTCATAAATCACTTGCTTCAGTGCCACTGTAACTTCGAACAGTCACTAAATGAAATATTATAAGTCGAGGACTACCTGTATACAGAAAACTGAAACAGATCATAGTCCCAGGTAATCGGTTCTCCCCTTCTTCATTCCTTGCTAATGTTTCTCACGTTTGCTATCAGAAATCTCTTACGTTGAGCTATATTGACAACATTCTGTATGCAAAACCTGAGCTCACAGTCTAGTCTTTGGGAAACCAGGGTGTTAAAAAGAAATCACAGCAAAAAGTGTTATACATGAGTTTTTCTATCAGAACTCTGTCTCAATAGTTGGACCATCTTCACAAGAAGACGGCCTTGGACCTTTGCTGAGTAGCCTTCCTCGGAGAAGAACATCAGCCAGAGGGAAAGAATTCTCATTTTGATTCCTTCTCCCTCTTAAACAGTCTCAGTTCTATCCATGGCTATAGTAGTCTCGATCTCACTTTACAGAATTTAAAATGCTAATTAAATATGTTTCTGCAGTGACTTAGATATGTTAGCAAAGAACTAATTTTTGAAAGGATTTTAACATTGTAATCTGAATGAACTGCTTTGATTTAGAGCAGTGTTTCTCAACCTTGACAATTTTAAGGCATGTGGACTTCAACTCCCAGAATTCCACAGCCAGCATTGCTGGCTGAGGAATTCTGGGAGTTGAAGTCCACATGCCTTAAAATTGTCAAGGTTGAGAAACACTGATTTAGAGAAAGCTGCAATGTTTAATCTCTCTCTCTCTCTCTCTCTCTCTCTCTCTCACACACACACACACACACACACACACACACACACACACACACACACTTAATACTTACTAGGATCAAGCCTTATAGATTGTCTTGCTGGATACCACTGAGGATCTACAGGGAAAAAAACAGAAACTCACAATTAAAAACACGGCTTTCCTGTTGTTTAGCCCTCTCACTTTCCAACTTAATCTCAACAAATTCTAAAGACTCTCTATTCTTGCAAAATCACTTCTTTACTCATTCTTTCTACTATTTGGGTTTGATGGGATTGATTCCCAAATTGTTACACAGCATTTCTGGCAATCTAATATAAATGGTAATCATATATGAATACATTTCCAAATAAAAGCCCGTATAAATATAAAATATGTAAACGGTAAACATATATGCTTAATGTTGTAAGCCTCCCAGAGTCGCTTCGCAGCAAGATAGTGGCAAACAAATTTTAAAAAATAAAATAAATATATAAATTCCCAAAACAAACTTTTTTGGAATTTTTCTTGGCAACTCCCTTCTGCTTCAGCAAATAGGTTTTGTAAGATCTGCACTGCTAACTCAACCCAGAAAACCCTCAGCCAGTCTTCACCAATTTGATGCCCTCTAGCTGGGTCTATGACAGTGGTTCTCAACCTGTGGGTCGGGACCCCATTTGGGGTCGATCGACCATTTCATTGGGGTCGCCAAGCAAGGCTGTCCGCCATTTTTTTGTCTGCCATTTTTTTCCCCTTTTCCAGCGGGTGCCTTACCTCCCTTGGGCTGGGCCAGCTGGTGGTCGGCCTGCTCCGTCTCTGCCGCTTGCCAGCTACGCCTCGGCCGGCGCAGGGGGCGGAACCACGCATGCACGGCGCTCCCAGGCAGGGAAAGTCCTCGACTTACGACTGGTTGGGTTAGTCCTCGACTTGCAACCGGTTTAGTCTTCGACTTACGACCGGTTTAGTCCTCGACTTACGACTGGTTTAGTCCTTGACTTATGACCGGTTGGGGTCGCGGCATTAAAAAGGTTGAGAACCACTGGTCTATGACAATCTGCCATGGCAAACTCACCATGGCCAACTCACAGCCAATTCGCCACAGGACAACTCACTGCGAGACAAGAGTTACACTAATATCAAAGAAATGGTGGAATGGAAACCATTAAAGAAAGGATGCAAAAAGAGGGACAATGTGAAATGGAAATGACAAAAATTAAAATAGTTTTTATTTATTTTAAATAATTAAATTGAATTGTTAAATTGTTTCCACAGCAAGTTGTCCATGGTAAGCTGGCCATGATGAGTTGGTCATAGCAAGTTGGCCGTAGCAAGTTGGCGGTGGTGAGAGGCTGCAGCGAGTTGTCCCAGTCCGCCTCAAGCCATAGGACAGGGGTAGGCAACCTTGGCTCTTTTATGACTCGTGGACTTCAATTCCCAGAATTCCTGAGCTAGCCACGCTGAGGGGAAAGGGAGAGGTTTCCAAGCTGAGCCATTCTGGCTCAGGAATTCTGGGAGTTGAAGTCCACGAGTCATAAAAGAGCCAAGATTGCCTACCCGTGCCATAGGACAAGCCATGTATCTACCTCTAGGAGGCAATGGGAAGGATAAGCTAAAGACATATAACATATCTGAAGAGCATCACAGTGAAAAAGGCTGGCTAAAACTTTCAGCAGTTAGTAGAATTATTAACTCAGCTTTGAGAAAGCTTATGGCATTTAGGAGTTCCTGTATGCTCCTCACAATTATGTATAATTCAGTTAAGCACTGATACCACCTTTAAAATCACCTTTTGAAATGTAGATACTCACATATCTTGTGGAGCATCGCTTGGATGTCACTTATTGTAGTGTGTGGCTCAACCTATATAAGAGAAAACTTTCTATCAGGAAGCAAGCAGATATTCTTTTGGGGGGATGTTGAACCGATGGGAGCAAAGGATATAATTAAGGAAACACCCAGCTACAGTATGAAGTTATTATACAAATCTCCGAGCACTCAAAAAGTTATTCTGTAAATGTGATTATTTAAAAAGTGATTTATAACGTTACGGTTACCAACCTTTTCTAGGAAGCAGAGCTGCTGTTTTGTCTTCCAGTCAAGAATTTCCACCTAGCAAAAGAAGCAGATAAACCATTTCAAATGATCTCATGCTCTTAACTGCTGTGGTTTACAAGAACAAGAGACAGTTGAGCTCAAGCATCGAAGAAGTCATACCTAAACATTTTTTTAAATGAACCACACTTAGCTGGGTTCACGACTCAAAGTTAGCCATAAATCATTTTACAAGCTACAATTGCTGCATACAATATATTTATTCACTTTTATTCTAAAAATGTATGCTGTTTAAAAACAAATTGGGTTTCCTCCTGGCAACTTATTTCATAGTAAAATGACACTGTATTTTTTTAAAAAAATCTACGAACTAAAACAGCATTTAAAAACTGAATATATGGAAATATAATCGCAGGTAGATTAGTTAATAATCTATTCAACGCCCCATACAAGAATCAAGCTTTACTTTTGGTAACTACACAAACTTATCCCTACAGTTTTCTTGGTAACACTGCAAATGTGATTTGCCATTTCCTTTTTCTGAGTTAATTATTTTATACTTTCAAATGTAGCATTCAGCTCAGAAATTTCTTCTTGGTCTCCTATCCAACCATTAATCAGGTATGATCTGCCTTAGCCTTCTTGAATTCAGCCAAGTTGAAGTAGACATATACATATAAAATGTTAAAATATTAATCTATTAAAAGGCCTCGAAGAATAAGAAATCATTTGCTTAGTACAAAAAAGCCAAAATAATAAATCATTGGAAAAAGCTACCACTGAGAAATCCTGCCTCTAGGTTATCATGACCTTACCTCAACACAGAAGAATAACTTCAATGGGTCCTTTGAGGATAACCTTGAAGATATATGTAGGAATGTACAGAATGATGTGTTATCACAGATACTGTGGTCCCAGGCCCTAAAAAACCTTTATATCTTAGAAGTGACATCTCTAATTGTGACTGGAAAAGAACCAGGAGTGAGTTCAGATTGTAGTCTCTATGTATGCCAGCCAAACATATCACATTATAATTTAGCGTATGTTCAGCAGCACAGTCCAACAGTTAATAAGCTGACGGATTCTACAAGTGTACATTTTGATTTATAGAAAAATTAAATGCAATTTTCAAAGTCACCGCAAGAAGAAAATAGAACAGAATCAGCACAGCTCCTTATGTGATGCAATTGAAATTTGTCTGTACATTCTATTTGGCTATGGGTCTGCCATAACACAATCAAAGGATAAGGTGAAGTTGTGTTTGCACTACAATTTCAAGAAAAGATGTATTTGGAGATAGTAACAAGTACTGCTTTTACATCCTGACACTCCAGAGCACCTTCTTGTCTTCAAATTCAGAATGCTGTATAACCCACTTTTTATTTTCATCACCTCTATGCAATATTGTTCCTTAGTGACTATTTTCAGTATAATGGCATCATTGTGTCCCATCTACCGTCACCTTCTGAGATAGCCCAGACCAGAGGCCCCCAATCTTTTGGGCACCAGGGACTGGTTCTGTGGAGAAAGATTTTTCTGCGGATTAGAGGGGGCCTGCATCCAGCAGATGGAGCTTCACTTGTTTGCGCAGCCCGGTTGCTGGTATGCCACGGCCCGGTGCCAGTTCACGGATTGGGGGTTGGGGACCCCTGGCCTAGACAGTCAGAATAACACAATGGCTGAAACTATGTTTACCAGTTTAAGATTACAAGATAAGTAAAGATACGACTTGATGTTGGTAACCTTAGTTTCCTGAAAACTTAGAGGTTTCCAATATCTTATCCATAAGGAAGTCTGAATAGTTTTCATGGGCTTGATAGACTCATTCTGATCTTGGCTCAGTAATTAACCTAGCATTGGTTATTTAATTAATGTCATTGATAAATACAAGTGTGAACAATGCTTTATTTATTTATTTAATTTATATGGCACCCATCTCACTCTGAAATATCAAAAGAATAGGGTGGAATGTAGACTGGATTCCCAGGAGAGAGGGGCTGCTCTCTAGAGAACAAAGAGGCAGCGGGGCTTGGAAATTTTGATCAACAGGAAGATTAGAACAATTCCTCCCTAGAGATTCACAGAGTATATCTGAAATTATGCAAATAGTTGCTTTAGTCTGGCAAGATTCTGTCTAAAGGTGAAGAACAATAAAGGAAACTACTCTTAAATAATTATATGTGTTGTTCTTGAAGCCTGACAAAAACAGAGTATGAAATAAACACAATTTTTAATTGCCCATGTGTATGTCTGTGAACACGTACTCATAAGGAAACAAGGAGGGATTCATATTAAGATAATCCCACTAAAAAAAGATTTGGTTAAGGCAGGGGTCCCCAACCCCCAGTCCATGGACCGGTACTGGGCCGCGACATGCCAGCAACCAGTCTGCATAAACAAGCAAAGCCCCTTCCGTGGGATGCAGGCAGCACACAAAACCACGCATTCTCCGGTCTGTGGAAAAACCCTTCTCCACGGAACCGGTCCCTGGTGGCCAAAAGGTTGGGGACCTCTGGGTTAAGGCATCAGGTTAGAAAGCTGGAAACCATGAATTCTAGTCCTGCTTTAGCCATGAAAGCCGATTGGGTAATGTTGGGCCAGTCACTCTCTCTCAGCCAACCTCACCTCACCAAGTGGTTGTTGTAGGGAAAACAGAAACAGGAAGGTGTGTTGGATGTGTTCACCACCTTAGTTGTAAAATTAATAAAGGCAAGGTATAAGATAAATAAATAAATAGATCACAGTCAATTATCTGTTTTAATCTGCAGAGAAGCACTGTTTGGCGAAGTACCACTTTTGAAGGATGTACACAACGTAAGATGACTTAGAGAAACACTCCTGAGCCCCTTTATTGCTTCTAGATGTTTATGCTTACTATCACTTCTACTTACAACAGTGTTTTTTTGGTGCTATTCTGTTGTGCTTAGCTGTTTTAAGTGAATGCTCTACAGTATTGATTTTTTTTTTACATAATTTACAGGAAAATTATTCCTCCACATCAACTTGGAAGAATTGCAAAAATGCAAAATTGAACGGATCCCTCTGGCCCAGTGTTTGTGTAAGTCAGCTTTCTTTTGATTCAGTTAGGACTGGGGAGTAATCTCTCCTTACCTTACCTTTTAGCCACCTGATTATTGCTTTGCAACATATATAGTCCTCTTAAGGACTACTTTAAGAATCCTAATTGGGACTGAATGTCCTGCAGCCAAGTGAAACAGTCATTAGGGAAAACATCACATGACTGCACCGCTGTCAACGCTGCTAATATTGGATGTTCCCGCTTTGACAACTGATGAAAATGCAGCCATTTTCTCTTCTCCTTTTCTATGCTTTTTCTTACTTTTAGGAATCAGGTACAGCAGGGAGGGGGGTTGGAATGAAAGCTCAGCTAGCTGTAACGATAACACTGCTGTGGGAACCCAAGGACAAGCTGATAACATTTTGGCGGGCTGAGGAGCTGAGGAGAAAGCCCACGCTTTAAGCTAATTGGGGAATGTGCTTTATGACAGTTTATTGGGGGTGGGAATTGCACTTTGTTACTTTGTATCCAAGGGAAGGGAATTTAGTTTTTGGATTCAACTATGTAGTGCCGATACTTTGTTTCCCGAATAAAATGTTCTTTAAGGAAGATTTTTGCCTCGAGGTTCTTTTGATGGGTTTCATCTATCGGAACCATGACATGTTCCATTATTTTTTTTAAAAATTAATGTTTTCAAGTTGTGAGAGATTAGGCTTTTTAGCTGAAATTAGCTGGATATATTTTTATGACAGCCAGTCCAGTCAGATTAGTTTCAGATCCCAGCAGCAGAATTTGCTGGAATTTGTATAAAAATGAAATACAGAGTGTAACACTACTTCAGGAGTGTGCAAACTTTCAGTTGGATGTTCCCGCTTTGACAACTGATGAAAATGCAGCCATTTTCTCTTCTCCTTTTCTATGCTTTTTCTTACTTTTAGGAATCAGGTGCAGCAAGGAAGGGGGTTGGAATGAAAGCTCAGCTAGCTGTAATGATACTTTGTTTCCCGAATAAAATGTTCCTTAAGGAAGAATTTTGCCTTGAAGTTCTTTTGATGGGTTTCATCTATCGGAACCCTGACGACCGCTTTGCAATGGCAGCTGCGGTAATCCTGTGTTGGAAGTTGTTTTAGATTCAAGAATAATTTTATTCATGCACTGCTTGTAAACTCCTTGAATCAACAACCTGACCTGTCAATAGCTAAAAGAAACCATGTAGCAAAGATTGTTTAACTGTCAAGCTAAATAATTGACAGTCAGGCTGAAAGTGCATTCCTTTCAAAGAATAGCCAACAAGACAAATCCTTTAAGAGGGCTTTTAGGAAGACACACAAGTCGAGACACACACCGAAGGAATTTGCCAAAGATAAACACTTCAAAATGCATTCACACCAAGAACTACTTTCTCTATAAATACCCTCTACCTCAAAACATTCAAATGTAGTCTACTTTCAAGTGCTGTCTTTTATGCTCTCAAATAAACTTTTTTCCTCTTCAAGCAGTGAGTCCGGTGTCATTCTTATGCAAATCCCAGCTCGGGAAATGGACCAGAATATTATTCTGAGACCTGGATGCAGTCATTAGATCAGGATGGTACCGTCTTTAGGTGAGGATCTCGCCCTGCTCTTGCCTTGCCACAACCATTTCTACTTGAACTCAGCCTGGTCCTTCTCACAGCCTTTGAAGGCCTTGGGCAGCCAACAGCTGTCTTGCAAACAGCCAGGATGGCAGCAATGTGGGGGCGGGGGGAGGGAAAGATGGCGAAGATCAGCTGGGGACAGCAGAACACAAAACGGAAGGCAGAAATGGGGAGGAAACAGGCATAGGAGAATTGAAGAAGAGATTATTATATTTTCTTCTTCACTTTTATGTTTATAACCTCATGTTTCTATGTTCCCATTACAACTTACGTGGGTCACTGGAAGGGAAGAAAAAGTGCTGTGTGAACAGCAAGAATGGATAAGGAGAGGAGGATGTAGTTCATCCCAAACTGATCTAGTCATTCGTGAATTTAAATGAATTCCACTGAGTCAGTCAAGTTAGTCTAGTCCAGGGGTAGGCAACCTTGGCTCTTTTATGACCCGTGGACTTCAACTCCCAGAATTCCTGAGTCAGCATAGCTGATTCAGGAATTCTGGGAGTTGAAGTCCACGAGTCATAAAAGAGCCAAGGTTGCCTACCCCTGGTCGAGTCTATTGTTAGTCCCCTTAGAAAAGGAGATGAAAGAAACCGGAAGTCACCTATTCCTTTACACTACCACTGCTAAGGCCTGCAGCGCAGCACATTCCTCCCAAATCTGAGGGGCTGCAATTGCCAGGTTATTCCTGTTGCCCAGCTGAAAGAGAAGGGGTAAAACAAAGTCAGAAAGTCTCTAGAGCTCAAAGAGTTTGGGTGATATTAGGCACTTCCAGAGAAAATGGGCAAATCAGCTATATGCACTAGGACTTCTTCATCTTCTACGAAGGTAAGACAGTTTGTTACTAAGTCATAAGAAGAAGATAAGCAACCAAAAAAACAGCTCTGTCTGAACAACAAAAAAATATACATGCCTTCAAGGCTACCTTGCTTCTTAAATTCTAAAAACAGTTGAGAAGCATCGCACAGGTAGTCCTCAACTTAAGAGCATTCCCTTACAGACCATTCAAAGTTATGAGGGCGCTAAAAAAAAAGTGACTTTTATGACTGGCCCTTGTACTCACAACTATTGCATTGTTTCTGCAACTCATATGATGAAAATTTGGATACTTGGCAACAGGCATGTATGGTTGCAGCATACAGGAGTCTCACGATCACCATTTGTGACCTTCCGAGGGGGGGGGGGTTGGGTTATTCCAAAAGACAAAGTCAATCGGGGAAGCCAGCATTGCTTAGCGATGGTGTGATTCATTTAACAACTGTAGCAAAAAAGATTGTAAGATCGGCTGCATCACTTAGCAACAAAAGATCTGGTCTCAACGGTGGTTGTAAATTGAGGACTAAGTGTATCTTATTTGACTGGGACCCAGTCCCAAAATCCTTTGATCAGGATTTAACTGTAATAAACAAAGAGGCAGAAGAAGCTGGAACGGAATCTGAGACCAAGGAAGCAGATTCAACTGGGAACTCATTAGCGTTGAACACAGATCTGTCCTCAGTTGCAAAAAAAACTGTTTCTTTCCTGTCCACACAAGTGCAATCTATATTTGATCAGCTACTGGAAGTCAACGAACAGCTAGAGGAAATAAAAATGCTAGTAGAAAAAGGTTCCCTAGCCTTGTAAAGGAAATTGAGACAGCTGGTGAGCATGGCAATACTGGGCTCACCCCCGTCTCCAAGAGGGGGTGAGCACTATTTTAGTACAGTTGTTAAGCACAATTCAAAGCTTAGCACTGAAGTACCAAGTGAAACACAGATACTTCAACTGAGGAAAGTCATGTTATATCTACAAATGATCCACATAAACAATCAAAGATGGAATATGAAGAAGACCATCCTGAAATCTCAGTCAGTTACTTAGATGTGAAGTAACACTGACTGAACTAATGGAGATAAGATGGCTTCCACGCTGCCAAGGCTTTAAGAGGCTTCCACGGTCA